ACTCTCCACTGACTCCCATCTCTCACCTCACATGCCATTTAACATAACATGTCGTTTCCCTCAACCTTCTCTCCTCCTACCTATATGCTTATCTCTATCTCACTTTCTTTTCTACCATCTCAAATGAGCTTTCTCTCATTTTTAATCTCCCCATTTGTGCTGTTTGGCAACCTCTCCTACTTTTGAAACTTGCTCTTTGTTAATCCATTCTCTCTCCAACCTGACCTGCTTACTCGATATTTTTTATCTTCATGGACACCCTTTCTTCATCCTATGAACGTGCATAAGTCTCTCCCACCTTTTGACAGCCTCCCTTGGCTCCTACCACGCTCTAGCCACCACTATCCCATTTCTTTATTTTTACTTTCATCTGAACTTCTTAAAAAAAGAGTTTACACTCAATGTGTGTTCACTCAGCTCCTTATAACCTGTGATTTTGGCCCCCAATGTATTTTTGAAACTGCTCTTCCTAAGGTCATCAGTGTTTTACTTTGTTCTTAAGTAGTACATTCTCTCTTAACATGACATGGGACCGAGGAGAAAGGAGAGGTCCTGTCCTCGTCTCCACTGCTCCTTCAAAATCACTACTTCTCCACTCCCCACCTCAACTAAGGCTTATGATATTATATTCACCTATACCACGAGGCAGCACATTTTTTCTGTAAAGGGCCAGATGGTAAAGAGTTTAAGTTTTGTGGGCCACATGGCCTTTTTTGTGCCCACCCAACTCTGAAGGGCAAAAGCAGCCATGGCCAATGCATAAATGAATGAATGCAACTGTGTTTCAATAAAACTTGATTTACAAAAACAAGTGGCAGACTGGACTTGTTCCGTGAGCCACAGTTTGCTGAATCCTCCACTTTGCTATCACCTTGTGTCATCCCAGGTACCTCTACATTTATCAAGAATTTGGCACCTGACTCATAGTCTTCATCACCAGCCTAAGTGGCAAAGTACAATGTCTGACTCCTGGTAAATATTCCATAAATGTGATTATAATTATTACTTTTAAAAATTATCATATAGACACTCTCAATAGCTCTGTGGAAGGCCATCCGACACTCAGTTTTATCATCTCCTTAACTCTCATGCCCTGGACTTTGTCTCTATGTGCTCAGAGAGAGCACTCCCTCTGAAATCTAAACTAATATACACTGATCCGAAGTCTCCTGACTCTCACTCACTCCCTTTATGCTTGCTCTTCAGCCTCAATTAGCCTTTAGTCCCCTTTTATCTGTACTGTTTCCTATTCATGTGCTCTCATCCCTCTTTATTTCCTTCCTACCAACCTTGATCTCATGGTCCACTGACTGAACCATCCTCTAACCTACACCCTCAAGTCCTGGTTTCCCTTTTCCCTCAATTGTACCAAACTAGCAAAATCCCATACCATCCTATCCACCTGCCTTCTCTGTTCCTGTACCTGGATGGCCCAGGACTGCTCAAACTGTTCACAGATCAAAGTCACTATGAGCTTAGGCTCTCGGACCTCAGCTGGGGCTTCAGCACCACCCAGCAATACGTTCCCCAATCCTCCCACAAGATAATATGAACTTTTAAGGCTTACAATTCTCCTCAAGGTTCCTTAGGCTATCATACCTTCTCTCACCTTCAAATGACTCATTTGCCTTGGGCTCTTCAGAGAAATCCGATGTCTGAATAAATGCTAAACTCTTTGTTGGACCTACACAATTAACTTATCCACTATCCTTAATTCCTCCCCTCTAGGCCCAGGAAGATTGGTTCTTCTTCAATCTACCAGCAGTGCTCTGGGTCCATCCATGTCCCTTCTGCCCCACCAATATTACAAAAGCTAAACCATGAAACAATCCAGTCATATGCCTTTCTCCACTGCTCTTTAAACATGGATATGTTTCTTATCCTCAGCTTCCCCATCTTCAAAATGGTGATACCCTTGCAAAATTGTTGTGTGTTATGAATATAGCAGGCCTAGAGGTACCTGACATGGTAATCATTCAATAAATGGTAGCAACTGTTATTATTATGTTAATAGCTTAAAAGTTGAAAGACAGGTAACAAGAAACGGGACACAGGATGGGAGAGCTCTAGGGTGAAAAGAGGATACCTAGAAACAGAAAAGGAGTAAATAATTTTCCTTGCCATAAAACATCCCAATCCTTCTGTGAATATGGCCAGTTGCTTTGCAAATTACAGTAATTAAATATATGACCACTCTTTGCTCTTCTCACTAGTCTGGAGCCTGGAACTCCTCTTACAGTATAACACTTTCCAAGGGGGAGATCTGCTCTGGATTCTAAGTCTTAGCAAAGAAAACTAAACAAAATCTTCGTTCTATTAATCTAGAATTAAAGTGATACCTATTAAAAAGAAATTATAGCAGTGTTTGGCCCCTGATAATGTTAAAGTAGTCAATAAGTGATTCCATGGCTGGAGCAGGAGCGTTTTAATGTGAGAGCCTGGGACATCTTGTGCCGAAAGCACAGAAGTGCTCAAAAGTGAGTGGGGGGGAAAGATCTGATTTGGGAATGAGGGGGAGGTGTCAAAAAGACACTGGAACTGGCTTGAGAGGCCTCCTACAGGTCAAACTTGGGACAATTTGAGCATCAAAAAGAATAATAGTAGTAATGGATCTTAACACAGTTCATTTTTATAAAGTTCTTACATCATATAATAATAATAGTAATAATTATAATTTTAAAAAAGAGAATGAGAAAGAGGAGTAAAGGGAATCCTTTTATAGAATAATGCCAGCTAATAAATGTAGAAGGAATGAAATAATTTGAAAAACACCATTTTTCAGCTCCAAAGGTAGTGATCATATTCCTGATGCAAAAAACATTGGGTGAAGAGTGAAGAGGTGACAGCATAGCTGCATAGTCTTGAAGTGTTACTCCACAGATTTGTTCATTTCCAACTACAAAAGGAAATTACAATGGGAAAAAATATACCTTGACAATGAAGCTATCTGGTGGGCACCCTCTTAATCCAGTGATCAATCTTTGTAGCAGCACTAGTGAGAATAACCTGACAGTATGTGGTCACTGTGATGTAGTAAGAAGCTCACAGCACCACTCATGTAGTACACCCAAAAGCTTGAATCAGTAAAGTGAAAACAATCAATCAGCCCATAGTCCTGCTATGCAAAATGCAGTCCAGAATCACATCGCCTGAGAGCTTGTATGAAATACAGAATCTCAGGCCACCCTCTGGACAACTGAGTCATAATTTGCACTTTAACCAGATCCTCAAGTGATTCATAGGTACTAAGCTTGAGAAGCCCTATACAAGACAACCACCTAGACTTTTCAAAAAAATCAGTGTCAGAAAAAACAAAAAGGGCAGGGGAGACTGTTCTGGATTTAGAGACATAACAACCAAATGCACAGAGTGAATGTTGAATGAATACTGGGACAGAGGAGAAAAATGTTATAAAATGCATTTTGGGGGGAACAACTGGGCAAATTTGCATATGTATTTTTTATTAAACAACACTGAATTAATGTTAAGGTGCTTAAATATGATAATGGTATTTAATTACATAGATTTTCTTATTCTTAGAAGACACATGCTTAAGTATTTAAAGTAACATGTCAACAACTTACTTTTAAATGGTTCATAAACACACAAAGGCACCTGTGGCGTAACAACTGGTTACTCTAGATGAACAGTATGCAGGTGTCCACTGTACTGTTCTTTCACTTTTTCTTTAAGTTGAAACTTTTATTTAAAAAGAGTTGGAGGGTGGGAAGAATATTCAATTAGCCCACATAGAAATAGCAAGTCTCTGGTAGCAAATAGCCTGATTCACACAACCTTGTATATATCTTAATACCTACTTCAGAATACATGTAGGGGTTCAATAGATGTTTAATGAGAAAGGGAATTAATTTATTTAAATCATATTTTGGCTGGCAGAAATTCCTAAGGCATTGAGAGCTACTACAACCAGGTGGCTGTCAGGTATATGTCAGAACTATGGATTGTCACTAATCTTTCATTCAGTGAGAGGCAGTAAAGTGTAATGGCAAAGGTTTTAGGGTCAGTCTGAACTAGATTGTATTAACAAGGTATCCTTGGGCAGAGTTCATCTCCCAAAATCTTAAGCATTCTATCTGTAAAACAGAAATAAAATAGTACCTTACAGCATGGTTGTAAGGATTAAATGAGGTACAAGATAATGAATGAAAAGAACTTAGCATCACTTAATAAATGTTAACTATATTTTTATCAAGGAAGTCGGCTAAAAAGTGTTCCATAAAATGGAGATATGGTTTTTGTGGGTCAGATTTTGACTTTATCCTGAGAATTAAAAATCTTCATATGATCTAGAGGCATTTTCTGACAATTACAAATCTGGGTAAGAAGACTAAACAATTTTTACTTCTTATTTTTAATCTGCTACCTTGAAGAAAAAGCATTCAGTGTGATGAACAACCTTTCTCCAAAGATGATGCGTCCCCAAGGTGAAAGCAGTTTACTTCTTCAACTAAAGTACTAAAAGATAATAAACTATTAAAAATGACTTTGAAAATCAAATTAAATACTAAGAAAACTTGGAAATAAGTTTGTAAGTTACCTTAAACTCTCTTGACTAGAAAAGCTGTGAGAAACCATAATGTTTTCATGGGAGTTTACTGAATAGTTTTCAGGAAGCACTTAAAGCACAAATAAGCATCGTATCTTTTTGGCTTGAGTGCACTTGTGCCCAGATGAAATAGGATTGACTCCACTAGATGGATGATAACCTAATCCCATTATTCTATCAAATTCTAAAGCAGTATCTCCTAAAGGCTGGCAACTATGCCAGTAGGCCAAATACAACCCACTGCTTCTTTTCATGAATATAGTTCTACTAGAACACAGCCATGCTCATTCATTAATGTATTGCCTGTGGCTGTTCCACTATAACATCAGGATAGAAAAGTTGCAAGAAACCATACAACCCACAAAATCTAAAATATTTACTATCTGGTCATTATAGAAATCCAAGAATGAAATAAAACCTGTACTAGACTCACCTGGGGTGTCGTCTTTTTGTACTGGTCACCTCCCTCTATCACATCCCTCATGATTTTTTCCTTGAGAAATTCGTACTCTTCTCTACTCAGGTGAATAGACTCTATGGTTTTTCCACAGCTCAAACACTGACCACTATAATTAAAATTATTTGTGTTAAATAGTGTCCTGGAAAAGAACTTTTTCTAAAATGAATACTACTAGGACATGAGGAAATTGAAAAGTAATTTAAAAAGAACATTGTAACTCTTATAGTCATTACATGCACCCAATTTTTTGTAAACCTGAAAACAGCACACATTAGTGTGCCAGAAAACCCCAAAGAGTAGACTACTGGGCAACCAGATAAGTTTTTAAAGTCATTCCTAAAATACAACTGGGTCCCTAATCTCTAGGGGAAAACATCTCTAAGGCTTCATACCAGGGTCAGAGCACCCAAAGGAAAAACATTTTGAGCACTGCAAATTCTCCATATGCAAAACATAGCTTTTTTCTTTCTTGAGTACCTTAACTTTTAACTGTCCTATCTCTAAGGAATTCTTTTAAAATTTTTTGATCAGTAACAACAAAACCTACTAAACCTGAATCAAGCAAGTTAAAAATAAACTATTGCCCTTTACCTTTTGTGGATTGTTGTAAATCGTCCTTTCCATTGTTCTCCAGGAACACTATAAAGAAGATTGCAAGACAAAATCATCAGGTCAGATTCTTACTGAATCAAAAGATATTCATTGTATTTAGAAACTAGCAGGCAAGAGCTCTGAAAAGTTCATGCTAAATTCCTAGAAAGGTTCAATGGAGGAGTGGCTGATAAGCCGTGACAGGGCTAAGGAGCTGATGTTATAGTACTCTGCATCTCCTTGTCTTTGCTTCAGTGGTCATCCAACACTCAGTCTTCAACTCTAAATCTACGTTCACAGGACCCGTACAGAAAGCCACTGACATAAGTCGGATAACCTTTAAATCAAACTCAACTCTAACCTTCCCTATAAAGCTGCAAGGGACTGTTCTTGCCCCCAGTAACTTCTCTTTTACAGCACTATTATTTAACTGTTAAGTTTTGTATTCCCAATTACGCTGTGAATGTCTTCTCCACAGATCTTACAACACTAAAACAACTATGATGCCTAGCCTAATTGGAGGCATTCAAAACAACTTGCTCTATTTGTTCAATCAACTTTTCCTTTCTTCTTTCCTCTTACATTTACCTCCACAACTCCTATTGACTCTACTGCCTTGCCTTCTTTCCCCAGTTCTTAATTCAAGGTCTTATCATCTCTTATTCAAACCTACCATTTGCTCCAAATAGATGTTTCCAAACTTAATCCCACTCCAATCTTTTCTGTTTTAGCAGTTACCTTTCTAAAACTCCACTCCCAACACCAACACTCTTGATAACTGAGTAAAATCCAATATCTTTGGCATTCAAAGATTTTCACAATCTAGTTCTTCTGCTGATATTCAATAAATGTTTTAAATAAGGTATAATTAAGCATGATTGCTACTTCAAAGCTCTGTAAAGATGAGTAGAAAAGCAAGAAAAACAAGTGAAAAAAAATGAATTTTTAGGAAAGAGCCTAAAGTAAATCAGCGTGAAGAAATCAGAGAATAAAAGTGTGAGGGAATAAACAGGCATGCAATCAGTAACATTAATAAAAGCCAAAGGAAAGGAAAGCAAAGGAGAGAGCTTTGAAGATAGCAGTGGATGACAGAAAGATGAAAATGAACTAAAAGGATGAAGATTTTCTATTTTAACACAGGATATCAAATTTGATCAGGATCCTGTCACCTCTAACCATCCAAGCTAATGAAATGCATAGAAAAAACATATATATGCACATTATACCAGTCACTAGATTTCAGAACTCCTGAAAATAAGTGATCCAGAAACAGCTCCAGTTTCTTGTTATGAGCTCCAGCCACAAGTGTTATTTGTAGCTCTCACATCATAGTAAATGCCTCAGAAAACAAGTGATCCTTCTAAAAGGAAAAAATACAGAAAAATGACAAATGCTCTGTAATTTCCCTTTTATAGGTGCAGATTAGCACAACTTGCTTATGCTACTACTTTTTCAAAAGGACAAGAAAATTTTGTCTTAAAGGAGAAATAATGCTGAGTAATTTTCAGCCACTAACTAAAAAAAGGAGGAGGCTATTTTTAGGTATAGGTACAACTGGTATATATATATTTAGGTATAGGAATTTTAACAGGTGCAATAACCAAAATGTAGATATGAAGAAAATAAAAATTACCTCTCAAACCATGTTTTTACACTGTGTGCAAGTGATTCATCAGGATATAGCTGATTATTTCTTAGATACAAAAGAATGTCTAGCAGTTTGTTTGAATACTGATCATCTTTCATGCCTTTTCCAAAATCAAAGAATGCTTTTAAAGTTTCCAACATAGGAATAAGATTTTGATCTAATAATTCCTGATACAAATTCCAGGCTATGTTTACATCTTGATGAAGGAGGGCTCCCTGGATACAGTCATTATAGTTCTTTTTTGAAGGGACCATGACTTTTTTGATGTCCTCTAACAGCAGGAAGGCCTCTCTCCATCTGTCTGAATGGATTAATCCCCGGATGAGTAGAGTGTTTCCTCCAGATTCTAAACTCTTGTATCTGGCTTTCATGATTTCATAGACGTCAATTACTTCTGAAGTCTGCTTATGAAAGACACAGAGAAACAAATACTTGACCAGCAAATTATAGCCTACAATACCATTGTTTTTTGCAGCTACCCAGGCTAGCAGAGATTTGGCCATATCTACAGAGCTATGGCAGTGAGCCATTTGTGAAAGGATCCAATTTTCAAAATTAGCCTTTCCTTTAAAATCTTCCTTAAGTTTGTCCCACTCCTCTGAACTCAAAGGTTTTGTTGGGAGTTGTATAGTGTTCTTCACAGATGGCAAGGCATGATCTTTACTCTTAGGATTTATCAGTGATCTCTTCTTAGCTGCTCCAGCTGCAAAAAGATGAGAAGAATCAGAAAAAACTTGCTCATTACTGCCCTCATCTCTTTTCCTGAGATATCTGGCCTTCACAATCAGGGAATTCACTCCTTTGGTGTTTTGTAGAAACTCTGTTTTAAGAGAAAACCACTTCTGTTGGTTCCTGATGCTGTAACAATCTTTGAGAAAGACACAGATATAAGAGTATCCTGGGCCTAGCCCAAGGTATGGGTTGCTCTTCCAAGGCTTAGAAAAGCTTCGAATACCAGTGAAACAGAAAGTCATTTTACAGTGAGATCAGCACCAGATACGGGAAGGTCAAAAGCCCCTACTCCTACAGCATAATTACAGGATTGGTGTGGGGAGGAAGGCGGGAAATCGAAGCCCAGCTTCTTAAAAGATGATTTTCCGTTTCTCACAAAGGTTCTTCTGCTTTTGGGCCTACAGCAAGGAAGTCTGATGGGTTCTCTCCATTAAACAACCATCCGGGGACATTCAACCTCCGTCGCAGGCCCCAGAACTGGGGGAAGGGCAGCAATCCTCTTGTGTCTCTTAAGTTCTAGTCCCCGAACCTGAAGGAAAAAAGCACAAAGACGACCGCCCAGTTCGACTCGCGTTATTCACAACTGTTCTTGAAAAGGGGCAGGATCCCATGGGAGCCTTGCTGAAGAAAGAATATAAAGTCGAAAACCACAACCAGGAGCCTTCCAACCCCAGACCCAGTCGTAGCAAGGACAGCGGCGAAAGCCAAAGTCTGGGGGCCCTGATCCCGCACAGCAACTTTCCCTTGGCCGTCCAACCCGTCAGCTGAAGGAATAGAAGTGGGGATGTGGGGAGAGAGCAGAGCCAACAACTCAGGTAGAAAAGGGAGGGCCACCAAGGGCCCCCCCCCCCCCACTAATGTGCAGGGCTGGAGCAAATTTCACTTTAGTCAACAACTCACCCCAGGGACTCACGCTCGGCGCAACCATAAACGCAGCGGAAACTACCACGTCCACAATGCACCGCGACGGCCCTGGCAGCGGGGGCGTGACTGAACCGGAAGCCGGCATCCCACGGATCCTGGCAGCGAGAAAAAGGCGATCTTTGAGAGTAAGGGAACCGAAGCAGGCAGAGGCGGCTGCCGAAGGCGTCTACTACGTGCATGGGACCTAGGGCCTACAAATATCTGCAATTAACAATGAAAAGAAATTGTGAAAGAAGAAAATTCTTACCTCAAGCCGGAAACGGCAAATGACTCGAGTCACGTGGTACATGTGCCGAAGGCCCTAGATAAAACCGTGGGCTTCTTTACATAGTGCCTTTTAAATTGGGCTTGTTGAAGCTGGGACGCTGCGTTAACGAGGCTCGTTTTCCATCCCGTCTACGTCTCCTTGCCCCGCTGTTAACGTCGTCGCCGTATTCTACAGTAATTTTTGCCTCTTCAGCCAACTTCCGCCCATGTCGAAGATGGCGACTGAGCGGCCTTCCTAACCTTTACGGGGCTGGGTGGTGTTTGCCGACAGTGCTGGTAGTGGGTGGAGCGATTAGTAAATTTTAAATGCTGAAGCTGCTGCGCGATGTCAGCGATGGACTGGAAAGAAACTCTTCGTCGGCGGTTAGCGACGCCCAGCTCTGGTCCAAACCGTAAGTTTGGGAGGGGTACTTGCAGAGAGATCCCGGCCCTAAACTCTCAGCGGTCGCGGGAGAACCCAGAGGAACAGCAGCAGGGAGCCGTATTTTCCGCTTTCTGTAAAACCTTTCCTAACCGAGGAGGCAGAGTGGAATGTGGTTTAGTCATCCAAAGAGGTTTGACCCACATTTCCCTGGGCTTTTCGGAAATAAAAAGCTACTTTATCCGCTCACTTAACATGGTCTTGACCTGTGAGGAATAATTGACAACCCAGGGTCCAACAACTTTTCTATCCTACAAGAATCTGTAGCCCATTGATACTACGTTTTACTTATTATCACACTTTTCACTTCCCTCCCTATTCGTTTTAGATCTCATAATCCGTGTTTACTTGTCCCTTTGACTTTCACACTTTAACCGATGGTTAGTTAAATTGTCCTTCCTTCACACTTTAACTAATGGTTAAATTGTCCTTCCTATTCATTCCACATTTGTGCTCAGGGCAGCAGGAGGAAAACGGAACCATGGTTAATTGTCTCACTTTTAATTCATGTCCCCTAACCTAAAGTAGACTTTTCATTCATTCATTTACACTTCCTCCGTGTTTCCCTAGATACTCACTCTCCTACATTTTAAAGCACCACTTCTCTCCCAAACCTCCAGTCCTCCAATATGTCCTAGCCTACTCCTTACCTTCAGCTGGTGAACTTGTATATACATCTTTGAGAAGGTAGAAGCAAGGAAGAACTTGAGCTGCTTCTATTTACCACTGCTATCAGTCCATTCCTCCCATAGGTGCGCATACACTCTGCCTTTTCAGTATCACTGACTTCACTCTGGTCTTACCTCTTTCATGCATTATCAAATTTTCCTTCTTTACTGGATCATTTCCATCAGCTCTGACAAATAGGCTATAATATCCCATCTTAAAAAAAAATTTTGATCTTATATCTCCTTCCAGTTTTTACTACATTCCTCTGCACCACTTATAGGAAGACTGCTTGGAAAAGTTACCTATGCTTGGGCTTTCTTCTCCTCCTCACGTTTAAACCCACTCCATTGCATACCTGTTATATGCCAAGTACTGTTCCAGGTTATAGCAGTAAACCAGACAAAAATCCTTGTCCCTATAGAACTTTCGCTTTAGTGTTTGGAGAGGTGATAAAATAATAAGTAAATGTTATAAATTGTACAACCTCTGTTTTGGGCTGTTTCCTTCATTTTTGTGCTAGATCCCATTTTTGCCTACTCAAGGGGGTACTCGAGTCTTCTCTTCTCTCCTGCATCATCAATTTTTCTTTCTCAGTCCTTTTCCCATCAGCAATAATGTGGTGATATTTCTCCCATCTTCAACTTTATCCTAACTTCTACCTCTACCTATGCCTCATTTCTCTGCTTCCTTTTTAGCACACTTGTTAAAAGAATTGTTAAATCTGCACTTGCCTCTATTTCCTGCTTGTCAAGATCATCAGTGATCCATGCCCAGTCGTCAGTTTGCAGTCCTCATTTTACTTGACCTGCCAGAGACATAGTAGTTCACTCCCTCCTCCTACACATACTTTCTTCTCTTGGTTTATGGGAGACACACTCTCAGTTTATTTTCTTGCCTCACCAGTCATCCCTTTTCATCTTTACTTTTTCTTCCTCTTCTCCTCAACCACTTAACTTGGAGTACCCAAGGCTAAGTCCTTGGTCACCTTCTATTCTCTATCTACACTCACCTTCATGGTAAAATTATCCAGTCTTAAGGCTCTAAATGCTGTATATTTGCTATTGTCTCTTAAATTTATATGTCTAGCCTAGACTTCTTCCCAAATGCCATTTTAGTATATGTTTGCCTAGTTGACATGGCCACTTAGCTCTAATAGATATATTAACCTTAACTTATCCAAAACTGAGTTTCTTTTCTCCTTTCTAGCTTGCTCATTCATAGTTTTCCTCATCTTAGTTATTGTCAACCCCATCTACTCAGGTCAAATCCTTTGGAGATATCATTGCTGTTTTTGTCTGATACCTATATCCAGTGTGTCAGCAAATCCTGGGACTGAAAAGAAAATAAATCTGAAATATATTTACTCCTAACTACCTCCATTGCAGACACCATAGTCCAAGCCATCACCTTCTGTCTCCTGGATTGTTGCATTAGCCTCCTTATTGCTTCTGGTGGCTCTCTGCCTCACCAGAATAAAACCAGGGTCTTTCCAATGACCTAGTGACTTGGACCTCTTTTATCTGCCTTCCCTCATCAACTCTTTCCTCTGGCTCACTGTGCTGCAGTAACACTGGCCATCTGCCTCTTCCCGGGACACACTAGACACATTCCGACCTTAGAGCCTTGTCACTGGCTGTTTCTTTGCCTGGAATGCACTTCTCCTGGATATCTGAATAGCTTGCTTCCTCTCCTTCAGTTTTTTGTTTTTGTTTTGCTTGATTTCATGTTAGTGAGGCTTTCCCTGACACTGTTGAAAGTTGTATTGTTTGTATGGACACAAAACACATATACTTACATGTATACTTGTGTATATCTAGAATAGTTGAATGAAATGATGAAAATTACTTGGATTTGGGCTTCAGTGACTGAATAAATACCATTAGCTGAACTGAAAATATGGAATTATAGGATGAGTAGTAAGGTGGGGGAATGGGGAAAATCATTTTAGATATGTCGGAGCATGAGATTTAAATATTTCATTTTGAAAGTATGAGTTGAGAGTTCAAGGGCAGTGTCTGGGTTAATGACATAGGTTAGGGACTTAGAAGTCAAACTACAAAAGTTGAAATGAGGAAGAAGGATTAACAAAAAAGATGAAATAACAGAAAAATAGGAAAGTCAACAGAGTATTGTCTCCTAAAAGTCAGGTTAGAATCACCAACAATATCAAATTTAACAGAGAAATCAGAGACAGGTGTGTCCATTAAACTAAGAAATTAGGGCATTGGTTACCCTGGCAAGAACAGTTTCTGTAGAGTGGTAAGAGCAGAAGCAGGATTGCATAAAGAGGGAATGAGAGAGAAGATAGTAGGGATAATAGAGATAGATAGCCAGTACTGGCTTTTCATTTGAAAAAGAGGGTGAGGAAAGGAAGGAGTTTTATGTGGCAGTTAGAAAGGAATGAGTTTTTTGGAGGGATAGGAGAGACCTTAGTGTATTTGTAGTTAAAGAGGAGCCAGTAGAAATGAAGAATTTGTAGGTACTTAAAGTGAGTGGTGGGAGTTGGGGGGAGTGGGAATAAATAATGGAATAATGGAACAATGCACAAGAGAATGGAAAGGCTGAGATTAAATGTTCGGGTAGAAGAGGGGTTAGCCTTGAGTGAGAGAAGAGATACCTCTTCCCTTGAAACTGGCAAGAAGAAAGTAAGGTGTAGATTTGATACCATCCTTCCTCTAAATCCACTTAGATGTTTGTGGACTTAGTTTTTGGTAAACAAAGAGGGACTGTCATCTGTTGAGGGTGAACACAGAGCAGGCACAGAATGTAGTGAAGGTTTGGAGCAGCTAGTCACCAAGAGGAATAAGCAAGAGAACATCAGGGACTACTGGTGTTTTGGAGAGGCTGACTTACCAATTAGTAACTATGAAATAAATTTGTGAGACCAAAAGTTTGCAAAATTTTGCAGTTTTCTCCAACAGTATTGCGCCATAATAAACGTTGTAAGATTGGGCAAGGTTAAAACTTAATGCGGCAGAAATGGAAGCATAAGAGGAGTTTAGAGGAACAACTACAAGTATGTTGGGAAGGAGGTGAGACCAGAAAGAGGAAGATAAACTTTTGAGAAAATAGATCACAAAACTGAAGTTCTCAGTGAGGCAGAAGTGTGGGTATTTATGGCAGTGAGGTTTTGAATAACTAGAAGAGAGAAAAATTACCTGAGAGTCTATTAGAGTTTAAGATTTCAAAAGAGGAGCAGGTAGGACCTGTCGTCTTGCCATGGAACAGATAAATCACTCTTCAGAGTCGAGGGGTCACAGTCACCCACATAAATGTTTATTCTTCCTTGGTGGTTGGAAGACACTGAGAATTCTGTGCACCAGTTGCTATGGTCCACAAACAGTTGTGGAGGAATGGCTAAATGAGACAGCTACATACAGCAGGATGTAGGTTGAAGGGTAATAGCACCCTGATGTATAAGCTTCAGATGGAAAGGTTTTGCAGTCAGGTAGAACAGTGGTTATGAGACTGAAACTCCATGGAGTTAACGGCTGTGCACCTGTTTTCTCACTTCTCTGGCACCAGTCTCTAGTACAGTTTGAATCTGTACAGAGTAGGTGCTCAGTAAGTACTTTTAATTCAATGAATTAGGAACATTCCAGAGGTCTATAAGAGAGGCAGTGACTTGAGGAAGAGACAATGATAAAAAGAGTGAACAGCTGAGAAGTGGTTGAAGATGTTTCAGTGGAAAATAGTGATTCTTGGTATTTTAAGACAGTTAATATAAAAAATTAAGAAAACCACCCGAATTCATAGTTGCATCAAGAAGAATAAAACACCTTGGCATAACCAAGGAGGTAAAAGACTTGTTCTCTGAAAACTGTAACTGTTAATGAAAGAAATTGAAAATGACAAAAATAAATGGAAAGATATATCCTGCTCATGGATTGGAAGGATTAATATTGTTCAGATGTCCATACTACCCAAAACAATCTACAGATTGAGTGCAGTCCCTATCAAAATACTGGTGATATTTTTCATAGAACTGAAACAAATAATTCTAAAATTTGTATGGAACCACAAGAGATCCTGAATAGCCAAAGCAATCCTGAGAAGGAAGAACAAAGCTGGAGATACTGTGTGCCCTGGTTTCAAACTATATTACAAAGCTATAGAAATCAAAACAGGACAGTACTGTCACAAAAACAGACACACAGATCAATGCAAAAAAGTGGAGAATCCAGAAATAAAATCAGTGGTTTAAAGAGAAAAAGTTACATGCCATTTTCACACCTAAAAAAAAAAAAAAGATTGGATTAGTTAAGAGTACCTACCTCTTGGTGTCACAGTAAAGGACTCAATTAAATAATGCATGGAAAATGTAAATACCTGTCCTGGAAACAGTAAGTGAAAAATAAATGTTTATTGCTGTTGTGTGCAAAACAAACCAAAACAAAACTGTTGCTTATGTGGTCGATTAGTCTTCAACAAAGGAGGCAAGAACATACAATGGGGAAAAGACAGTCTCTTTAATAAAATGGACCACATTTTTATACTATAGAAAAACAAACTAAAAATAGATTAAAGACTTAAACGTAAGACAGGAAACCATAAAACCCCTAGAAGAAAACATAGGTATAGTAAGTGCTTAGACATCAGTCTGAGCAGTATTTTTTTTTGGATCAGTCTCCTCCAGCAAGGGCAACAAAAACAAAAATAAACAAGTGGAACTACATCAAATTAAAAAGCTTTTGCACAGTGAAGGAAACTCAACAAAACAAAAAGCAACCTACTGAATGGGAGAAAGTATTTGCAAATGATACAACCAGTATGGGTTAATATCCAAAATATATAAAGGACTCATACAACTCAGTATCAAAAAACCAAAAAATAAAATTTTTAAATGGGCAGAGGACCTGATTAGACATTTCCTCAGAGACATACAGATGGCCAGCAGACACATGAAAAGATGCTCAGTATCACTAATCATCAGGGAAATGCAAATCAAAACCACAGTGAGATACCATACCGCCTTACACCTGTCAGAATGGCTGTTATCAAACAGACAAGAAATAACAAGTGTTGGCTGGAATGTGGAGAAGAGGAAACCTTCATGCACTGCTGGGAATGCAAAATGGTGCAGCTACTTTGGAAAATAGTATGGAGGTTCCTCAAAAAAATTTTTAAAAACTACCATATGATTCAGCAAAAAATATCTTCTGGATATTTATCTAAAGAAAACAAAAACACTAATTCAAAAAAATATGTGCACCCTATGTTCATTGACTTATTTACAGTAGCCAAGATACAGAGGCATCCTAAGTGTCCATCAATAGATGAGTGGATATAGAAGATGTGGTAAAGTACATATACACAATGGAATATTACTTAGCCATAAAAAAAATCTGACCATTTTTAGCAACATGGATGGGCCTAGAGGATATTATGCTAAACGAATTAGGTTAGAGAAAGACAGGTACTAGATTTCACTTATATGGGGGATCTAAAACAAAACAAAACAAAACAAAACAAAACAGAAACAGAACAATCGTGGTTGCCAGAGGGGAGGGTGGTGGGGGGATGGGTGAAATAGAAGAGGATTAAAAAGTACAGACTTCCAGTTATAAAATAAGTAAGATATACAATGTACAGCATAGTGAATATAGTTAATAATATACCAACTTCATATATACAATATACAATAAGATACCAACTTCAGTGACATAGTATCTAGATTTATTGTGGCAATCACCTCATAATGTGTATAAATGTTGAGTCACTATGTTGTACACCTGAAACTAATATGTCAAATGGTTACCATGGGGAGAGGTTGAAGTGAAGGGAAAAAGAGGCACAAAGAAAAAAGAATAAAAAAGAAAGTTAATACAAATGTTGAGTGTCTAAGCACAATTGTGAAGGCCTTTTTTGTACTGTAATTAGACTATAGTATATAAATGATCTGAGAAAAGTATTGTTTGATTTTAGAAGTGTTTTCCCCTCTTAATCTATTTTGTTACCAGAAAAAAAAAGTGAGCAAGAATTAAAAGATGAAGAAATGGATTTATTTACAAAATACTACTCAGAATGGAAAGGAGATAGAAAACACACAAATGAATTCTATAAGACCATTCCCCGATTTTATTATAGGGTAAGTAGTATCTAAGCAAATGTCCTGTGGAATTTATAAGTGAAATGTTATTTTTTAAATGAGATAAGAATCTTCTTTCGATCAGTGAATTAAAGATTATATTTTAAATTTTATATATTTTTCATTCTAGTTGATCTTATTGTTTTGGGTAAAATTTTTAGTTTTGATATAAATTGGCATAAGTACACAAAGTTGTTACTTGCTCCCTTTTTTCAGTTATAAGCTTTTCCTAATTTTTATGGATATTAGTAGTAGGTGTTCTATTGGATTATGGTTGTCAGGCTTTTTATAAGATTTAGGTTTACTTGGTTGTTGACCATTTTTACTTGTACTATAAGTATAAAACATTTTGCTCAAAGCTAAACTGAAAAATAGATTGAAAATGGAAAACTTGAAGAGTATACTTAATTATATGTTTCCTTGCACCAAAACTATAAAGAAGTCTTTGCAGAGCATTACAGATAAAACAGACCTAAAGAAAACTACTTACAGTTGAAATTGAAGGCTACTTAAAAAGAATAATATCTAATTAGTATTATGTAAAATGTAACCACTATAGAAAAGTTAATTTTGGAATTTTAGCTGAGTGTCTTTTAAACCTGTTATCTTCTAAACTCATTATAATATTATTTGCAAAGTAAGTAAACATTTTGTTTTGCTTGTATTAAGGAGTTAGGTGTTAATATTCAGTGAATTTTTTAGAAAATTTTACCTTATTTCTTGGAAGTACAAATTTTTTTCATTTGAACCATTTTTATTGGAAACTTTTCTGTAATACTATGTGTTTCCCAGCCTTTTAAGAAATATTTGACTAATCCACATTTGTAAAGAGACGAGAATAAAACAGCTAAACAAGCTGATATTTTCCCATAACATTTCCCAGAGATGTAAATAAACATTTTCAAATGTTTCCACATATTTCTGTTTGTGTGTGTGTGTTTAATAAAAATAGGATCACATTATACATATTTTGGCTGCTTTTCTAAAAAGAGGCAACTGAAAATTTTTGATAGTTTGGAAGAGTGAGAAGGGGACTGACATTTATTGAGTACCTACATACTTCAGAGAACTTTAATCCTCATTATCTCATCTAATCGGGATTATGAAATAGTTTACTAATCTGAGAACAGCCCCTAGATGTTGATGTGACCACATTCCTGGGCTCAGGACTGAACTTTCCTGTACTTTGGTACCAACTTTTTTGCACTCCCTTTGCAATTCCCAAGGGAGTCCACCCCTACCCCACCCTTGTTTCTGTCTCTTCCTTCTCTTTGTGACCTCTTCCAGATCCCAGATGGTTTCCTGTCTGCATGTGTGAATTTGTGGGACACTCTTTCACTTGTTCCTTCTTCCTCTGTGTTCCCACTGCTTCAGAGAAACCACCTATCATCTTTGGTCACCACTTCTCTTCTTGACTGATTAGCTGGTTGAGTGGCCACGGAACACAGTCCACTCTCAGCCCAGCCTCACCTCCTAATGCTTCTCTTCTCCATTCCTTCTGATGGGAGGGATGGCATCTTTGTTCGTAGAAATGAAAAGTGAAAAACATACCCATCAATTTGGACTATGGTTACTTAGCTACAGTTAATGAGGCAAAGATATAGAAGAGGAAATTATTTGAAGTTTAGCAAAAGCAAATTGTTTGAAGTTGAATTGGAATGAGTCATTTTAAAGCCCTGCTTATGAAATCACCCCAGTGGGAAGCCCCTCTGCCTTGGAGGCCAAAATAATAGACACTGGCTTGGCCATCTCCAACAAGTAAGGTGATCCAGTTTTAAAAGGCACACTTCGTTAAGACTGTTGATCTTTAGTCCTAATTCAATTCTATATCAGTTAAAAGTTACAGTGAAAACTGCTCTGAAATACAAAATGAAACTTGGGTGAGGCCATTGCCTTTTTCTGGCCTTGCTGCTTGATGAATTCTCAGTGGATCTCCTCCTATTAAATGAACTTTTAAAAATGAATGATAACTTGAAGTTAAGCAAAACTGAAATACAAAAAGTAATTTGAGGCAGTGGCATACGTAGTGACTTTATGAAGCCAAATACATTTTACATAATCCAACAGTCTAGAATTTCAGTGTAGAAGTAACTACTATGTATTTTTAGCTGCCAGCTGAAGATGAAGTCTTACTACAAAAATTAAGAGAGGAATCCAGAGCTGTTTTTCTGCAAAGGAAAAGCAGAGAACTATTAGATAATGAAGAATTACAGGTAAGAATGGAATAAAAGGTTACTTTGGATGTTAGCCATTTCTTATTTGTACTACTTAAGTCATACAGCATCTCAGAGTGTCTTAATGGAGCCCATAATGCAGAGTGGGTAATACCCAGAACCAGCTGCAGAGCTTGCATGGGCCCTGTCTCCCAATGATTGTTTTGTTTTGTTAAAAATCCCAAGGTGATTCTAATGTGAGGCCTAAGTTGAGAACCACTACTGTAGGGTCATAACTGCAGGGATTCACATCCCAGTCCTGCTCTATGATCTTGGGAAATGGATTGAATTATTTCTGTGCTTTGGTTCTCATCTATAAAGCAAGTACGACAGTATCTACGACTACATCATATAATTACATGGGTTAAAGAGGCACTGTAGGTGAAAACTGAAGAACTTAGGCATTCAATAAAGGCTAGTGGTTTTTATTATTAGTAAGCAAGAGGATAAGAGGGGATGAGATTCATCTTAATAGTAACTATCAGACTGTTGTTTTAATGGAAATAACATTTAACTATGTTTTTAAATTTCGTTCTGTTAATTATAACATCTTCATTTCTGCAATTCTAAGAACTTATGGTTTTTGCTGGACAAGCACCAGACACCACCTATGATTGGAGAGGAAGCAATGATTAATTATGAAAATTTCTTGAAAGTTGGTGAAAAAGCTGGACCAAAGTGCAAGTAAGAATAATAATATTAACAAAGGAATATGTTAAGCATTTTCAATGTCTCAAATAAATGTCAATGAAAATTTAAGTTAATGGTTACTATTTGAGTCAATTTGAGTTACTAATGAAATTTAATTATTTAGTCAAGAAAATTACATTGGTATGAAGTTACTAAAAATATAGTTCATATATAACACTGTAGTCTTTTATTCTTAAGACAATAGAATGCAAATATGTATGACAGTATTTTAAGTTTTGAACTATCCTCATTTTGATTTTTACTTTGATTTTTGTTTGGACTAATGCTGTTTGTTAATTGATTATAGAAGTCATTTTCATATTAAAATGTTGGCAAATGATTTTAATCTTTATTTCCTTTCCTTATTAGGCAGTTTTTCACAGCAAAAGTCTTTGCTAAGCTCCTTCATACAGATTCTTATGGAAGAATTTCCATCATGCAGTTCTTTAATTATGTCATGAGAAAAGGTGATTTTGTTTTCACTCCCCTTGAACTCCTTTCTGGGAATCACATAGGTTTTGGTCTGTGCTTTTATAGTATCCCTTCCATGTTAAATAACTCTCTTAGTAAGTTTAAATAGCAGAATTTCTTGTCTTTTACCAAGACTTATTTTCTTATTATTACGATTCTCTTCTGTAACTTATTAGAGCTGAGATTTTCTACCATAAATTTGGGTTCATTATTAAGAAAGCAAACAAAACAAAAACCTCATGATACTAAAGATACTAGCTAACTAGCTATATCAAAAGCTAAACCAAGAGTTTAAATGTATGGTGATTTTAAGTCATTTTAATTCACTGGTAATTTTATTTCACCAATCCATTACAGGTTGAGTTTCCTGACTGGATAGTTTCAAACTCACAACTGCAGCATCAGACTCAAGGAGTTTTTATTAAGCAAGTTGGAATTGTTATGATTACTTAGGTTCCATAATCTGTGAAGTCCTGTGTGTACCACCTTTAATATTTGATTGTAGTAATTAACCGCAGTAGAATAAAAACAGCTTCAGTGAAGTCAAAACATTACACTCACTGTCCCTGTTCAGTGGAAAACCAAATTGAGTAGGTAAAGAACAGTATCCTCAAAGACCTTAACTTTATTGTCAATTTAGGCAGGGTAGAATTGTTGATACCTGCCTTTAATTCTTTGCTATGTTTGTTTTGTTATGAAGAGTTTTTGGGTTACTGAATATGTAATGCTTAGGAGAATAAATATGTTTTTAATATTGTCCCTATAGTTCTAGTTTTTGTCCTGTAATCTGTAGTTCTTTATCTTTTTGTCCATATATATGCAAAAGGATATAGATTAATATTTCATTTTCTTGTTGTCAGTTTGGCTTCATCAGACAAGAATAGGACTCAGTTTATATGATGTTGCTGGACAAGGGTACCTTCGGGAATCTGTAAGTATTTGCCAACTTCAATAACAACTATGGACACCAAAATGCTAACAATGGTTATCACTGGTTGTTGGGATTACAGGTGATTCTTATTGTCTTATTTTCTGTTTTTGTTTGTTTTTACAAATAACATGTTATTATAAAAACTTCTAAATGTATGTTGATGACAGAAATTCCCCTTTAGATTCTTTTCCTCCAAATTAAAGGGAAAAAAAAAACCCTTTAAAGGAAATTTTTTAAATGAATATAGTGTTTTAACAGAATTAAAAAATTGAAGAAACAGTGAAGAATTTTTGGTTATCTATGAGTGTTATCAATGTATGACTATTTTAAAATGTAAGGGCCAGCAATTTTCCTTTTTTAGAAAATATAAGAGAAAAATAATATAACTATATTCCCACCTGCTGGTTTGGATTATAAGGTCAGTTACCAAGAGGCTGTTTATATAGTTAGGTCAAGTCATCAGCAGAGAATTATAACCTCAGGATCTAAATGTCTATATTTCTTGGAAGTGTGGGAATCTAAATTATATGGATATGTTTCTTTTCAACTTAGACTTTTTTCCCATATATGGAGTCCTGTATGGTTATGGGGGAAACTGAAAACGTCTTAGGCATAAATGTGACCCAGGTTAATTAGTCATTTAAATATTGAAGTAAATATTCAAATATAAGATTTAAGGAAATGCAAATTCCCTATTATGTTCCTGTTAAAATTTGTTGCAGTCTATTTTATTCAGATTTCTGTAGCTAGAATATGTTAGTTATACTGAACATTTGTACTTAAAAACTTTTGTAGGGACACAGTACAATTCTTTCCTTTAAGATTCAGATTAACAATAAAACAATTAATTGACAATAAAAGACTCTTGTTTGTATCTATCTCTCTCTAGCAAGGAAGCCCTTGGCCACCTGTTGATAGCTACTCAGGTCAGATGTTGGAAAATTCTTGTCAGCAGTTAGTTTGGTTTACAAAACATGCTTTCCTGTTTTTGCTTTTCTTCTCTCGTTCCACAGAAACAAAAATTGAAAGAGGGATGGTAGGAGGGGAGAGAAAAGCAACAGTGCACCCGTTTAGTTGTCTTTTAAAGGGAGTAATTTTCCCTTTTCTCAATGAAAGAACATTTCTCTCAAAGAAAATAAATATTTCTCCTAACCATAGCACTTTGCTTTTTGAAACCAGACTTTGTGTCTTCCGTATTTAAAAGACAGTGATCTCCAGAGCCAACATCTATAATTTGAGTAGTATGAGCAAACTTTCATTCACTTACAAAATCTTATTATAGAAACACTTACCAAACACTTAATTTGTGCCAGGTACTATTCTAAACCTTACTCCTATGGAGCTTTTTTCCTAGCATAGTGGGGAGGTAGCAATAAATTATAAGCAAGATAATTTCAAATAGTGACAAATTCTGTGGAGAAAATAAAATAGGGAAATAGGGAAGAGTAAGACCGGGACTGGTGGCTGTTTTAGGTAAATGGAAGGGGTGCCTCTCTGAGGTAATGATTTGAGTTTTAGCCTTGAAGTATGAGAAAGAAGGCAGCCTTATGAGGATAACACAGAGAGGGAACAGCAAGTTTAGTGTCCCCAAAGCAAAGTTAAACCTAATCTGTTCTAGGAACAGAAGGATTGTAGTGTGGCGAGAGCATCTGAGCAGGGGTTAGAGAGACAGGAGATGAAACTGGAGAGGTAGGTAGGAATCACATGTAGGACCTTTTAAGCCATGATAAGGAGTTCATAGATTTTATTTGGAGACCAATAAACCATTGGAAGTTTTAAGATAATCTGTCAAGTTTGCATTTTAAAAGATCATTCTCGATGTTGTGTGGATAATGAACTGTAAGGAGTCTAGAGTGAAAAAAGGAATAGTTAGGAGGCTCCTTCAGTAGTCCAGGTGAGAGAGAGTGGCCCAATCAAAGTGATGGCTGAGAAGAAGCCAGTAAGAGATTTACTTTATTTAAATAAATAATACATTTATATAATAATTATTTTGTAAGTATAAATTTTTATATAACAATATTTTATATAATAATATTTTATATAAAAATAAACAGCAATAATTTACTGTATATTTTGGACACATTTTCCCACCACCACCAGCAGAAAAAATTGCTGCTGGATTAGAAGTTAGGGGTAAGGAGTTGGGGCATTGGAATAGAGGAAGTGTAGAAACCAAAGATGAGTTTTAAATTTTCATTTTCAGTAATCGCTGGAAATAGTGGAAAATCACTGGAAAACGAGGGTGAGGACCAGGGTTGGGGATGATAAGAGTCCCATTTTGGATATTCTAAGTTTGAGATACCATCTGTTCTACAACTTAAATTACAAAGTATCTCAGATCAACTAGAAACACTATTCAATAGCTAAAGCAAAAGTAACAAAGTTGTTAAAATAAATAGAAGGAACCGTGAGAGACTTTTAAACATAGACTCGTGGAATATGGAAAGCCTTTTAGTACGACAAAACTCAGAAATCTTACAGTGAACAAATCTGGGTAAATTTTTAAAAATCTATAGAGGAAAGACCATCATAAAGTTAAAATGACAAGCCTGGAAAAGTATCAGGTAGAAAGAGCCCCTAGAAATCAAGAAGAAAATGGCTGCTAACCGAGTACAAAACTGGACATAGGATATAGTTTGCAGAAAGCAATATACAAATGTTTCTTAATATAAGAAAAATGTTAACTTCATATAAGATAAATGCCAAATAGATCTAAACTAAAATACCATTTTTTACCTATTAGATTGACAGAGAACAGAAAGTTTGATAATGCTTTAAATGAGCAGATGTAAAATAGGCCATTGTTTCCTAAACTTTCTCAATTGCCCTTAACGTCTCAGTAATTTTTTCATAGTGCTTCTAGGTTGACAGAAATTCTGAACAGTTCCATGTATTAACACATTTTAAACAATTCATGAAAATATTCATTAAGTTTCTTACCCTGTTACCCATTTGAAAAAATAACATATAAGTTGAAAGTAAACAATACTTTAATTTCATCCTTTAATTATAATTACTAATGGAATGTGTATTCCTAAAACCTGGGAATTTGGACAGTCTTCCTCATTTCCTATTCCACACTGATTTTCGTTTATTACAGCAACTACTAGAAATCTGGCTTTGCAAAGATTGATGTCATCTAAAGGAATATTTTTTGATCTAATGTTGAAAATGTGAACTACTTTTGAACTCAAAGCTCTGGCTTATAGCAGCATCTGTTGTGCAGTGTCTGACAGACGACACTATGTTGCCCTGAAACACTTAAAATAATCTGCTGCACCACTGTGAGCTTACTGTAGCACTCCTCGAGCAGTTTGGTAAATGCTGACAGAGCTTCCACATTTCTGGTGTGAGTGTAAAGTGGATGTGGCCTTTTTGAGGAGGTAGGAAGTTTAATAGTATATATTAAAATTGTAAATGACCCAGCAATTCCACTTACAGAAAATGTATCCTATATTCTCTCAGAGTATCTATAAAATCAAATTAGTCCCTATAGTACTGTTTTTAGTGTTTCAAAAGATTAGAAATAAGCTGAGTATCGATAGAAGACTGACTGAATAGATGTGGTACATCCATTCAATGAAATACTATATAGTAGTTTGAAAAAAGAGGCTGGGAGCCAATATCAAATGACTACAACATTTATTAAGTGAGAAAAGCAAGATACAGAAGAATCTGCACGGTAGGCTGCTACATCCTGTGTAAAAAAGAGGAGAGAAATAAATATATATATATATATACACACACACTTGTATGTTCATCAGTTATCTTTGGAAAGATACGTCAGAAGCTGATAATACAGGTTACTTCAGAGAAGAGGAAATAGATGAGAGGACTTTCAATGAATACCTTTTTGTTCCTTCTGAATTTGGAACTATGTAGAATGTGTTATCTATTTAAAAATATGTTAAATTCCAAGTAACATGTAATTAGTAGAAACAAAATTTAACATAAAAGTCCCACTACTAACATAATTATGATTGTATTTCATTATTAATATAGTATAAATGCTGAATAATTTCTAGGACTGAAATTATATTCCAGCATCTAATGAGGAAGTAAGAGGAGACATTTAATACTGCAAAGATTTTGTTTTGTTGTTTCAGGATTTAGAAAACTACATACTGGAACTTATCCCTACTTTGCCACAATTAGATGGGCTGGAAAAGTCTTTTTACTCCTTTTATGTTTGTACAGCAGTAAGAAAGTTCTTCTTCTTCTTAGATCCTCTAAGAACAGGTAAAAGAAAATCTTAGATATTACAAAGATATTATTCTAAATCTCAGTAATTAGAAAAAGTCTTGAAAATGTCATTTATTTTCCTAACATGTCATTGCCATTAAAATACAAAGATCTTTTATGATTTATACACACCAGCTATAACCAGCTGTGCGACAGTGGGCCTGTCTCCTAACCTCTTAACAGCTTCATCTTTAAAATGAAGTATGAATTGGGTAGTCCATGATTCCTCCCAGTTCAAAGAAGCCAGTTTTCTTACATAATTTGCTGTCCTTGATAAAGACTGGAGATTTTTTTCTCTTTGATGAAAAATACAAAGCTTTAAAATATCAGTTGTGTTGTTGCTCTTCTAAAATAATATCTTTATAAAATAGAGTTGCTCTTGTTTTTTAAATGAAATTAAGTAATTATAGTTTCTTTATGTTCCTAGGGAAAATAAAAATTCAAGATATTTTAGCATGCAGCTTCCTAGATGATTTACTGGAGGTAAATGTATTTTCCAACTACTCAGCTATATCATTTGACAGTTGGTATCTTCTAATTATTTCTCTGTGTTCATTTAGTTAAGGGATGAGGAACTGTCTAAGGAGAGTCAAGAAACAAATTGGTTTTCTGCTCCTTCTGCCCTAAGGGTTTATGGTATGTTCCTATCATAATGATAAAATTGGAATTATCCATTCCTCAGTTAATGGATGTTCAAAGGACAGTATTTACATAGGCTAATTTACTTCTTGATCAAAATATTCTGGTTATCTTAAGAGCTAGGATTCTAGATTACTAAAATTTACTTGTTTTAATACCAACATTTAAAATTTTTGGTACCTTTTTTAAGATACTACATTTACTCTTCAATACAATATCCAGAATTTGCTTCTTTCTTGTTAACTCAGGATCATCATTATGAATATCAGCTGTTGCCTTGCCTTGTGATAAAATGCTGCTGTGTCTGGATGAAGAGGTGTTCTAGGGCCTGATTTACTTTTTTATTTGAATGTCATTAGTCTGCTCCATTACTGTTGGTGGTCTTCTCTGACTCATTCTGACATCTTTTTTCTCTGCTTTCAAGTGCCAGCATTTCAGAGTTGAAATATTTGAACCCCTATTCCATCTAATTTTAAAACCTAGTTAAGTTCTAAAAGTTTGCAAACTGAAAACAGTGATGTAAAGTGAAACAGCTGAGAGGCCATGGCCTTCTTAATGGGTTATCCTTGAGTAGTCTGGCTTAAGTATCCTTGAGCTGCTCTGACAGATTGCAGAGATAGTTGATGTGAGAGCACAACCCTAACTATAACAGTTAGTTTGAAAATCAAAATATAACCAATACAAAGGAACTTTTTTTAATGTTTATTCTTTTGTCTTTTAATGCGAATTTTATTTTGGCATAAGTGTCCTTTTATCATCTTTATTCTCAAGGCCAGTATTTGAATCTTGATAAGGATCACAATGGCATGCTCAGTAAAGAAGAACTCTCCCGCTATGGAACAGCAACCATGACCAACGTCTTCTTAGATCGTGTTTTCCAGGAGTGTCTCACTTATGATGGAGAAATGGTAGTAGTTTACATCTCTAATAAGTTCAAAAAATGTAGGTTTCCGTAGTTTCCACAAGCCCTTATCTTGACATGATATAGCATCATTTTTCTATCAGTGTGTAACAGCATCTTTAAAAGTCTGAACCAAATTATTTGAGTTTCGGAGCCTTTGACTTAAGGTAAATTCACTTGAAAACAGTACTTCCCTTATGGACTTAGAGCAAATAGAAAATTTTCCTATTTTGTTCATTTTATCATCAGTGCTCCTATTGTATGAGTGTGGACTAATAAGAAAATATGAAAAACTGGCAAAGCATATTGACTATTTTCATATTGATGTTCATTCCTGAAATTACTAGGTCAGATATACCACATATGCCATGATTTAAATCTAAGAATCAAGTTTATTACTTTCTGTAAGTGGTTATATTAGCTAAAGATTAACAATGCACCTGTTCTTTTATCACAAAAATGCAGAACACTTAAGAAGGAAATTCTAACTAGCATTTTAAAATCACCACCCTTGGTATTAAAAACATGTGTTTAGGATCTGATGTTTTCCAAACCAATGATGCTTAAGAAATGGTCATATTGTCAGAAGAGAATTGGGCTTTTAGGTTTTATTATTTAGCCGTAATGGCACTTTTCTAAAGAAACCCACTGTTAGCCAACTGCAGAGGAAAAGGGGGAAAAGGTGCAGAAACTTTGCTTTGTGATTCCCACAGCTGTCTATGGTTTACATTGAGGAGCCTGTAGTTGCTAATGACTTCTGGTAAATAAAGAAAATGAGAGGCTACAACTGTGCATGGAGTTAGACATGATGAGGCTGCATCTCCTTAGCACTTTATACTGCAGTTTATGCAGAAAGGAATTCTTAATCTTAGCCTAAAAAAATATTTTCTGAGAATATAAAATTTTTTCCTATGTGAGAATCTCCCAAGTATTCATTTCACCATGCAAAGAAAGTAATATATGAGTATCCCTTTTTGTAGAGAACTTTCTGTTCTCTTCATGTCTTTCTAGCCCTCATTTAGTCTTTTGCTTTTTTTTGGTTGAGAACAGTGTCAGTTCACTGTAGAGTATCTGGCAGTCTCGAGATGGCTTTTTTTTTTTTGAGTATGTTTAAATTTAGTAAAATACACATGACATCAAATTGCCCATCCTAACCATTTTTAAGTGCCCAGTTGAGTGGCATTAAGTACCTTCACATTGTGCAACCATCCCCATCATCCATCTCCAGAGCCCCTCCCACCAGCTCCCAGGCTGCTTTCTGTCCCTAGGAATGTGACAGCTCCAGGGACCTCACAGAAGTGGAATCACACAGTATGTGTCCTTCTGGGGCTGGCTTAATTCACTGTCAAGATGGTTTCTTAATGGAAATCATCTGATTGACAATTTTCACACAGTATTTTAAAACAGCTATTTAAATATACTGCCCTATTCATTCCAGATAAACTTTTCAAACTAATCACAGTGAAATGAAGATACAAATCTACTGGTAATGTATGATAGCTCAGTCATTGTCCTATCCATTTCAAAAGCATAATTAAAGAAAATTATGGTTTAACACAGCAAATCTCATAAGAAAATGAGCTGTGTCTCCAAAACTGTCCTGTACAGATAAACTGATGTGGAATTCCTAGAAACCAACATTAAGTATACACATGGATTTCTCATCTTACATTTTTTAAAAAATTGCCTCCTTTGATTGCAAAATAGTTTCAGATCATCAGATATTCACCTGAAAAGTTAATTCCAAATAAGTCTTCTAATGAACATCATTCTCTTTTCTATAGGACTATAAGACCTACCTGGATTTTGTTCTTGCATTAGAAAACCGAAAAGAACCTGCAGCTTTGCAATATATTTTCAAATTACTTGATATTGAGAACAAAGGATATCTCAATGTCTTTTCCCTTAATTATTTCTTTAGGGTAAGTTTCATTTGTGTAAATGAGTCATTGTTCCTTAAGATATGTTATACCATTTGGTTTAAATTTTCTACTCAGTAATAATTTTGTCTAACTTAAGTTTAATGAAAGGGTTTACATAAACATTTCAGAAGGAACTCAAGTCTTAGTTTTGTTTTTCTGTTTTCTAAAAATATGAGTAAAATCAAAGTTGATTTGATTAAACATAGAACACTAAAAAAGTATGTAAATATCAGGGTCTATCCTGGCCATTGGACATACAAACATGCATGAGAAATTTTGTGCTTTGGTGATCAAAAACTAGTGTGTAAAATCCTGTACAAACTTTAATTTTTAAACAGTTCAGAAAAGGTAGCAGAAGTTTTGCAAACTTTGGTAGTCAGATTTTTTTAATTGCTGTGCTGTACAAAAAAATTTTTTAGCTGGCTAGAATTGTGCTGCAGTTCAGTGTAAGAGAGTTGTTCAAGTACTTATTTTGTGCCTTACCTGGTGTCAGAGAATAAAATGATGAGCTCTGAAGTGGAATTTGATTATATCTTATCTAATAAGCATTCAGATACACAGATGTAAAAGGAGGGATGACTGCCCTTTTAAGACAAATCATTCCTTAATTTGAATGGTGACTTTTTTGCTTAGTGGAATAGTTTTGTACAGTAGTATTTCCTTCCATCACTATATCTCTATAGCTAGTTTTTAGAAGACTGTGTGATTTTTATATTGTTAAGATCGGTAGGAAGAAATTGTTTTTTTAAAACTATAAAAATGACATTTTTACATCTTCATCATAAACCATCTTTCCCCATATACTTTTTCTTTTCCACTGAAAAAAAATTTGGTACTTTAAAAATAACTTTATCTGGTTTCTCAGTTTCATAGTATAATTTCATAATTTCATTCTAAGTTCCTTAAAAGGCTTTTCCATTATGATTTCCTAGGTAGTAATGACTGCAAATATTAAGAGGAATAAATTACAGTCCCAGTATTATGATGCATTTTCAAAAAACTGAATGCTACATGGGCTTAATGGCTAATCTGAGAATATACTAATCCTTCATAGGAATGCCCCCACTTTAAGCAGACCTATCAAATGAAAATTCAATTTTAGGAAAACAAAGTAAATGTAACATCCAATCCTTTTTCATGAAGATCTCCTTAAGTATCTTCTACTCTTATTAAATTAAATTTTGTTCATGAAATACATTGAAAATATTTTATACATGCATTTATCAAAATTTAGGCTTGGTTGTATGGGCTAAACTAAAACGGTGCTAGACCCTATCATCCTGAGCGGTCTGTAGAGCCTTTGCTATCAGTATCCCAGTAATAAAGCTGGGCCAGATGGTGCATTCTAGGTCATACTGTCCAGGGCTGCTACTCTAGTGACTGAGAGTATACTCAGTCTCATCGACTTCAAAGACATTCCCTTTGCTCACTCTGGCATCAGTGGCACCACACAAGAGTAGGCACTTAGAACATATTTAGTTGATTATTTACCAAGAATTTTAAGCTTCACATTTTCTAGTGAATGATTCTCACCTAAAACATTTATTAGTCCAACTGGATCTTAATAGTTTTTTCAGTCACTCTTTTTTTGTTAAAGTTTATAGAAGAGAAGAGTTTAGGGAGATTTACCTCCATTTGTTTCTGTTGGTGTAGGGTGGGAGGAGAGGTGGCAGATTGGGAGTCTTAAAGAATGATGATTGTACTCCTGGAAAATGGGAGGAGCAGGTCATAACAATAATTGCCAGGCCATGTTAAAGGACAATCTGAGGTTGGAGACCATTCCTGTGTAGTAGTAATAATTTGTAGTCTTATATACTTTTTTCTGAAGTTCTCGATAGCTAAGGTATATAGTTCTAGAAAAGAGGATGGTTACACTGATCCTTTGTTTAGGTTTTGCTGACTGGATGAGAAGCAAGATCAAATTGGCAAGAGTTGGTTTGAAGTCTGATAGAAACAGAAGTAGAACTAGAAGGAAGTAATGGGGCTGGAGGGGGGCTGTTATGTATTTGAATTTTTATTCATAAGTTTATTTCTACTAAATACAGGCCATACAGGAACTAATGAGAATCCATGGACAAGATCCTGTTTCATTTCAAGATGTCAAGGTTAGTTTTTCCTTTAATTTACATAATACCAGATAATCGCTTTCATTAAATGAGATTTTTATATAAAAGCAACTTAAAAACTATCGTACACTGAACCCAATCAAGTATTTGTTGTTATATTTTCTGAATTGATACTTAAGCCATTAGAAACTCAGATCACACTGGGATTAATGATTTCTGTAGTTTATGATTTTAGCATCGTCAGCCTTGCATGTTCTCATTGGAAGCGTTCATTCATTTTGATGGAAATTAAGAGAATCAGTATAGCTTGCATCTTTTGGCTGTCTATTCCACTGTCAACTGAATTTTAGGGAACTGTTTAGTTCAGGCACTTTTTTAGTCTGTCACTTCAGAGGGCTTGCTTGCTTTGGTATTAGTTAAGGAGACATCAGTCCTACAGTAGGAAAACACTATTTGGAACACATACTGCTACTTAGTATTTTAGTAGTCAGACTTTCACCAGCTGAGAAAAACATTGTGTCCAGTACTGATTAAGGTTCAGGTTGGGTAATGTAGTCAAATAACCCAGCCAGTTTAACCAAATACAAGCTAAAGGACTTATTTTTTAATATAAATGAGACAAATTTGAAACTATGCAATAGGCAACTTAAGAACTAATCATCTTAAACTGCCACTAACTTAGAGAAGGAAGTTTCACAAACATAAAAGATTAAAAGTTCATGTTTCATTGGCCTGATTTTGATCTTTTAAAAATGTAATTTGCCTCCTTAAATGCTAAATACTTTACTATAAAAAGATTAGAAAACATGTGCCCAATTCCTTGTATTCATATAGTACACCTCCTAATACATAAGTGGTTCTTCCATTATCCTAGTAAATTGTTAGCACAATTTAGTATCATTCTGGATGACAATTCTTTAATGCAAAACTCCCCCACCCACTACCCATCCTAGTTCGAGAGTAAAGGCTGACATCAGTACAGGCATACCTTAGAGATACTGAGGGTCCAGCTCCAGACCACTACAATAAAGCAAATACTGCAGTGAAGCAAGTCAAATTTATTTTTTGGTTCCCAGTAAATAGAAAGTTACATTTACTCTGTTGTATTAAGTCTATTGTGCTATTAAGACAGTGACATCATGTCTAAAAAAGTATCCATAATTTAGAAACTTAAGCTAAAAAAATGCTAAACATCATCTGAATTTTCAGCGAGTCATAATCTTTTTGCTTGTGGAGGGTGTTGCCTTGATATTGATGACTGCTCACTGACCAGGGTGGTGGTTGCTGAAGGTGGGGGTGGCTGTCTCAATTTCTTAAAACAAGACCACAGTGAAGTTTGCTGTCACATCTGACAAACCTTCAAGAACAATCTCTATGTAGCAATGCTATTTGATAACATTTATTGATACCAGTATTCTTTCAAAATTGGAGTCAGTTCTCTCAAACCCTGCTGCTGCTTTATCAACTAAGTTTATGTAATATCCTAAATCTTTTATCATTTCAACAATCTTCACAGCCTCTTCACCAGTAGATACTATATAAGAACCATTGAAAAAAAACAAAAAAACCCACTGATTACCATAACAAATACAATGAAAAAGTTGGAAATATTGTTAAGAATTACCAAAATGTGACACAGACACGAAGTGAGCAAATGCTATTGGAACAATAGTGCCAGTAGACTTGCTCAAAGCAGGGTTGCCACGAACTTCAATTTGTAAAAAACGCAGCATCTGCAAAGTGACTATGTGCAGCCCAAGCAGATGAAGTATACCTATACTGGAAGTGCAGGTTGTCACTATCTTAGCTCAAGCTTTCAACATTGAGCTGAGTGTGCACTTAAATCAAGACCTTGCTTCACCACCAATTAGAAGACAACAGAAAATATTAAGAAGTTAACACGTATTCAAAGAACACTGCATTAGTTTCGCCACTAATTAGCAATGGAGCTTGGATTAACTGAGCCTCAGTTTCTTACTCTTTAAAATGAGGGGTATGTATTAACATACCTAAGAAATCTTCTAATAAAATTCTGTGATTGTATACAGAGAAAAGGAAATTGCCTATATGTTAAATGGAATAGAAAACACTAGAACAAAAAATTTTAAATAAGCTTAAATGCCAGCCCTGAATTTCAGATTATTGTATGATAGAAATTAAATGAGTCAGATACCAGATTTCATTGTATTTCTCTCTCTCACAGGATGAAATCTTTGACATGGTAAAACCAAAGGATCCTTTGAAAATTTCCCTTCAGGATTTAATCAACAGTAATCAAGGAGACACAGTTACCACCATTCTAATTGATCTGAATGGCTTTTGGACTTATGAGAACAGAGAAGCTCTTGTTGCAAATGACAGTGAAAACTCTACAGACACTGACGATACATGATCTTTCAAAGACTAGATTGTAGACTGTATTCATTAAACTTGAATGCCACATACAAAACCTTTGAAGCAGAATCCTTAGAAATAGTCTAAATAAAACAACTTCATATGCCTGTAGAACATAGGGAATGTTCTGGGTATTACAGGGGAGTTTAGTTGCACTAGTTTTGGAAGCAAACCAAATAACATGTTAACATGTTAGGAGAAAGTAAATTCTGGTTCCACTTAGCTGAAATATGACAAGTAAGATTTGGTGAAGGTAGAGGAGTCTGCCTTAAGTCTGTATAATATTTAGAGAAGTTCTTTTGTGGAATATTTCTGATATTCATCATAAAGATTTTAATATTTGAAGAATAGTTTAAATTATGTGGTCATTTAACCTTGAGTCTTCTTCTAAAGCATTATATATATCAAGATTACAGATTTTCCCATTCATTAGAGTAGAGCCATTTCACTTCTGGGTTAGAATTGTTTGGCCATGTTTCTTTTTATAAAAGGATTTTTCAATAAAAAGTATCAAAGTTAATATTTTAATTAAAATCATTTGGTATAAAAATCTGCCTAGCTTTATTAACCAGTCCCATGGTTACATTTTACAAAATTTCACTCCGTTTTGTTAAGGATTTTTGTTAGAGAATTTAATTCATTGTAAAGATTCTCTATTACACTGTTGGGTTTACTTCTTATGAGATGAAAGATTAGAAAAGGGCAGAAATATCATGAACTGTGTTCCAGAGGGAATTATTATTAAAAGGGTTGAAAAAAAGAGAAAGTAAAAGAGGCTTAAAAAAGACAAAACCATTTAATGCATTTATGGGAAATTTTATAATTTGCATAAATAAATATAAAATTTAAGGCACAGTGAATAACTATATAAACATTACAAACTGGCCACTGTTGGACAAACAGAGAAAGTAAAATTTAAGAAATGTAAAACTTCACAAGTCATATCTTTCTACTACAATCAGAAAAGTTTGTAGGTAAACTCTTAGATCTAGTGTCTCTGAGGAGAGAAGATTCAGATCACCTTTAGATGGATATGCGTACCTTCAATGGCTACCGAAATATCTTGAGTTAGAAGGTACTACCTCAAATGAAATTAAAAACAAATTAAGGGAAGAGGTCAGATCAGCATGTTTTAGAGCTACTGGTAAACTATAATTTACAGTGACATTAATTACATAATCTGAAGATCAATCCTTTGAACACTAAATTATATAGTTTATACATAGGACTAAAAAAATTACTATCACATACCATTAACCACTATTCCATGAATCCACGTAACTGAAGGTTCCTAATGAAAAATTATATTTCCTAAATACTTCAGATTTCAGTTGAAAAACTTAGTGACCAGATATTCATGTTGGTTGACAATACATTTCCATAACAGGCCCACTGTACCCACAGTGAATTTCTTTGAAGCCGTATTTTATGTAGATTATTAACACCAAAAGCTTAATGCTGTTTAGAGGATTAACAAACTTTCTAAAAGCTCTAAGTTTGTGAATAGGCTTTTAAGAGTAGCATTTCCAAAATAACTCTACACTCTTCCTTACCCATATTCAGTTATAAATCAGTATCATAGCCACCTCTCATAAGAAACTGAACATGTTAAGGAATATTTTCAAAATTAGTTTCATATTATACTTTGGTAGGGTTTGCTAATAGCACAGCGAGTAGAGATGGCCAACCTGGGTAAAGTAAACAGTCCATTTTACTATTGTTAAAGTGGTAAATGATGGGTAACTTCATTATGCTATCACTGTATCTTGTGCAAATTTAACAGTGAGCCTCTGAGGGGTGGTTTTAATCTGTCCCACAATCCCACCCACCTCCCTGAAACTACAGGGCTGAATAAGTGATGTAACCAGGATGCCATATGGATAATCATTGGGTATTATTATTGGAAAACAAACACATTATTAAGTTCATTCTATAACTAGTGTTTTTAACATTATATTCAAAACTACTGAAAAAGAGTAACAGATTAAGTAACCTGTATTAAAAAATGGAAACCCATCTTAACATTCGTGTTAAACTCAATCACCTTCCCATAAAGTTATTCTCAAGGAAAGAAAATTCAAAGTGCTTTTATCTTGCTCCTTTTATTAAGTGAACCATCCTTAGTATGAAATTAATAGTTAAATATATAAATGTAAGACATAATATGAGAAAATCTAGAGGGGGAAAAAATCCTCATTTTAATCTGAGACAAGGAATATCAGCTCCAATTAGCCTTAATCAGCAATTTACCTTTTCCTTACAAACACAAACAACAGACAAGGTTAATCATTTAACTCTTCTTAATTGGTGACTGGGACTCGATAATGTCCTTAACTTATTTCAAAGCACTAGTATGACACAGTAAACATATAGTACAAATATCCAAATTTCAGATCTGGCTTTTGCTAGATAGAGCCTAAGAATGAAGAAACATTTGTCCCTTTTCCAGGCAATAATTTAAAATATATTAAGTCCCACTGAATAAAGAATGTAAAAGTTCCCAGTATAAAAACTTTAGCGTTTGACGTTTGATAGTCATTTAATTCTACGGTGGGAGAGAGACTGGGTTTTGTTTGCTTTCTGTAATTACTTCACAGTCTCCCTCCATTTCAAAATTGAGATTCACAAATGAACTGGATACCATTGTTTCTGGTTGATCTGTCTGAACAACAGAATCAGCCTGCAGCTTATTCTGTTGGTATTGTCTTTCTGCTTCTTCAGACATCCTGTTTTCTTCTTCTTCTTCTTCTTCCTAAAAAGAGGAAATAATCAAGAATAGGTAAAATATTAAATGTCCAAAAGGAACAGTATTTGTTCCCTTTAAACTGCCTGTACCTTTTTAAAAAATCAAAACTATGTCCAATTCAGTGGGTCTAATTAAGATGACATATCTCCATTTTCCCTACTCTCAAACTGAAATGAAAAGTATTGTACAGCATTACAGGAAAGTGAAGTTATTTTTAAAACATCACACAGCTATGCTTAGCTTAGATGAAACCTGAATTAACTTTGACAGGGACTATATCTTTAGACTGATTCTAATCTAAATAAAATAGCTAATACTCTCACCTCAATTACAGAGTGTCAGCCTATTCAGTGGAAGAGGTGGTCTATTCACTAAATGGTATAATATGGTCAGGATGCCCATAAACAATAATACACAAATAAGGCAGTCTCTGCCCTCAAGAAGTTTACAAGCTAGGAGGGAAGTTAAGAAATGTAAAGATTATTAAGACAGAAAGGAATAAGGACTACAGACATTTATAAAGAGTAAATAATTTTTAGTTCCAGAACTACTGAATTGATGGAGGAGATGGCATTTGTATTGGTCCCCACAGTATGGGTAGTCAGTACAAAGTGAGTGACCTGTCAGGAAGATTAATCTATAGCATGCTTGAAAGTGAACAAGAGACCATTCAGGAAGCTATTACAATAGTCCAGATGAAGTAATGAGGCTCTAAACAATGCTGATAGTATTCAAAACACTCATTTGTTCATTAAACATTTCTGAAAGCACATAAATATAAAAAATATAAGGTCAGCTGAACCCAGATTCATCTCCAGCCGCAACCCTCTTCTACCCTATGCTCCAGTGACAATAACGTACTATTCTTGCCATTTCTCCAAACACATAATGTATCTCCAATCCTCTGTGTTCTAGTTTTACCTGAATTGCCCTTCTCATTTGCTTGAAAGAGAATAATAAAAGATTCTAATATTTATTTCATGGTCACCAATATACACTGAGAGCTGTTCTAAGCATTCTGCATATTAACTCAATCCTTAGTGCAACCCTGAGCATGGATATTGCAATTGTTCTCATAATAAAGATGAGGAAACTAAGGCTAATAGAATTAAGTATCTTGCCCAAGACTACAGTTAGAAGTGGCAGAACCTGATTTTGAATTCAGACCGTCTAGTTTTGGGGCCCCTGCTCTTTAGCCTGTGATAAATCTTTCTCATTCTTTCAAGTTAAATTCATTTCACTACCACCCTAAGACCTCACTCTATTTATGCAGACAGAATTATTAATTCTGTATTATTTAAAAATTCTAAAATGTATGCTAATTTGATACAGAAATTAATAACTAGAATGAAATACCTTGCCTATGGGAGCTATCTTTTGGGCACCTAAAGGATACATGTATTTATTACACAGCCCATGAAGTCCACAGCAAACCAAACTGAATCACAAAAATGTAAAAAGGAGACACACCTCCTTCTTCATCCGGTAATACTCATCAATGGCATACTGGTATTTTGGGGTGCTGATGCCCAAAACAGATGCAATCTTCTCTCCAAGAAAGTCACACACTAAGGATACAAAAGTTAAATGGCTTACACAATGCCATATGTATTTCTTGAGATGCTGCACTTTCTATGTGAAGGCCCTATGGGAATACAAGGTACAGTCCTGCCCTCAGGAAGATTATGAATACTCAGTATGTCATCTTCTGTATATCTGCCTTAATTCCCTAAAAAGCACTAGTGGTTCCTTTGATTCCCAATAACACTGTGCTCATACCTTCAATCATAACACTTAATTATCATGTATTAATAATTATTTGTTACATGTCTATTTTTGAAGAAAATTATGTATCTTTAAAAGGCTGAGTCATCACTGGACTGCAGGAAAGGAATAGCTTGTACTATAGCATTCACTAAGTGGCCTGCTACACCCCAGGCACTGTGAAAACTTAGATTCAGAGAGGTTAAAGAAGTTGCCCAAGCTGACAAAGGAGATCCAAAATGCAATACAGGTCTCAACGTAAAGCTCATGTTCTTTGGCCGTCCAGCATGTACTGAGTGCTCAGTAAATGTTGAATCGGTTGCTATTCAAAATTAGCTCTAATAAAAAATAAAGTGATAAAAGCTATGAGGGAGGTAAAATTGGAAACAGGAAAGCTTTATAATTTAAAGTCTGTATTTAAAGTTAGCATGATTAAGTCATAAGTTGATAACTCATTCCCTCAAATATGACTTAGTTTTATCTCCATTTAACATGAAATATTAGGGAAATTAAAACAAATGAATTATTAACTACTGGCTTTAGAATAAGCAGTCAGATGAGAACAGTGTCACTGAGATAACATAACAACAAAATAGCACAATAACTGCTAACAAAAAAAACTCAAGAATATAGCCATTTCTCGGTCCATATTTTTTCTTTTCAACTCAACCAGAAGCTGAACAATGTTATAAGGTAAAGTACAAAGTTAAGTTAATATCATCCAATGCTAGCTAGCTGCTGAGAACAGAGTGATTAACTCCCTATTGTTACTCCTTCATTCTGGAAATACCCCCATTTGGCAGAGCCTCTGTTCTTGCAGAATATTATAGATGTACAATATTCAGACAGAAAAGTAATACCTGAGAGGGTTGATGTGGCAGCACGAAGCATATAAAACCATAAGTAGGGGCCCCAGGTAAGTTTTGTCTGCAACAAGAAGTCAAGTTATCAGCATTCATACCTAAACTCATTCTGCATATTTAGGCCAGAACAAAGTAGTCAAATATTTGATGGACACATGGAATATTATATAAGAGTTCCACAAACAGACTACAATCCAATCAAGATTTTTAAAGCATTATAGGTAGAATTCCACAAAGATATTTTACATTCTTCACTCATATAACTACCACCACTTTAAGCCCATGTAATAACCAAAATAAGCAGCAGCCACTAAAATACAGTTGGTAAGTCATAGTCTTGATTATTTATAAGTTAATAATCCAGAACCTTCCTTTCTCCTGTCTCAATGCCTTTTTGTCTTCATTGTTCACAACCAAAATATCAGAGAGAACATGCAGTCAGTAGAAAGGGTCCTTGAGAAACCATACAAGTACATACACACACTTATGATACAGTGGGAAATTAAGGTTCAGAGAAATTAAGCAGGGTAAGGGCATATCAAAAGAACTTTCAGAAGAGGATTAAAGATGGCAGCGTGAGAGGTGAGACAAAGGTTTCCTTCTAAAACCGCATATAACATGAACATATAATGAATACAACTTATCCTGAAAGAGCAACAGGAAAGAGAACTGCACCAGACTGCATACACCTGGAGAAAAGAGCAGCCCTCACAGAACAGGGTAACATACCAAAGCTGTGGCCCTGTGGGACCCAAGCCCTACCCCCACCCCAGCTCACCAGCTGGAGGAAGAGAAACTGAGCAGGGAGGGAGTAGAGGTCTGGGACTGCTGAATACCTAACTCTGGAGATCTGCTCTGGGAACACAAACCTACATTTTATGGTGCTTTCATGGTACTCTTGGGATTAGGGGGTTGGAAAGCTAAGACAGGCAGAATTCCTGGAGAGAATGAGATTCCAGCTGCTTGTGGAAAGCAGGAATCCATATCCGGCTGCTCTGGGATAAAAGAAAGGCAGGCAGTCTGAGAGACATCCTAACAAGGAAGCCCTTAGCAAGAGGGCTGCTAAAGGGGCAAGGATTGCACAGAGCTTACTGCTCAGGAGAAAGGATCAGTAGACAAAACTGGGTGCACTCTGCCCAGCAGGTTGGGAGCTTTCACAATTTCCAGGTGCTCCAGCTCCCTGGTTGGCTACACAGCTCCAAGGACCCCCTCTGTTATAGGCAGACTACTGCGCCTTTCTCCCAGCCAGCGCCACCTGGCTCACAAACCAGCAAACCTTACCCTGGCTTTAGGCCAGCCAGAGGGAAGATCTGTCTTCAGCAACTACAAACGCAAAGCATAGAGGCTTATACCTGTGTGCTCAGCCCACTGGTTCAGGCAGTGGAGACAGGCATAGCAGCTGGGAAGCAGGGAACAGCTCTTTCCTCCCCCCAGGCACCAATACGGCTCCACCCTATGACCCCCAACATTCTTTTAGGGGCTGAGCAGCTCGAGAGAGTAGTGCTTCTGGGCATGAGAGGGCGCCATATACAAATATGAAAAGCCACAGAAACCTGGTTCAGAGCAAAATTAATATAACTCCTGAGAAAGATAACATGGACCTCATGACTCTTCCTGAAAGGGACTTAAGAATAAAAATCATTAACATGCTCATGGAGATACAGAAAAATATTCAAGAACTCAGGAATGAATTCTGGTCAGAGATCCAATAGTTGAAAAGCACAATGGAGGGAATTAAAAGCAGACTGGATATGGTGGAGGAGAGACGATAAATGAAATAGAAACTAGAGAAGAAGAGTACAAAGAAGCTGAGGCACAGAGAGAAAAAAAGGTTATCTAAGAATGAAAGAATATTGAGAGAACTGTGTGACCAATCCAAATGGAACAATATTTGCATTATAGGGGTACCAGAAGAAGAAGAAGAGAGAGAAAGGGATAGAAAGTGTCTTTGAGGAGGTAATTGCTGAAAACTTCCCCAATCTGGGGAAGGACATAGTCTCTCAGGCCATGGAGATCCACAGATCTCCCAACACAAGGGATCCAAGGAAGACAACACCAAGACACATAGTAATTAAAATGGGAAAGATCAAGGATAAGGACAGACTGTTAAAAGCAGCCAGAGGCAGAAATAAGATCACATTCAAAGGAATGCCCATCAGGCTAACATCAGACTTCTCAGCAGAAACCTTAAAGGCCAGAAGGGAGTGGCATGATGTATTTAATGCAATGAAGAAGAAGGGCCTGGAACCAAGATTACTTTATTTGACAAGATTATCATTTAAATTTGAAGGAGGGATTAAACAATTTCCAGATAAGCAATAGCTGAGAGAATTTACCTCCCACAAACCATCTCTACAGTCTATTTTGGAGGGACTGCTATAGATGGAAGTGTTCCTAAGGTTTAATAGCTGTCACCAGAGGTAATAAAACCACAGTAAAGAAACTAGAACAGCTAATTACTAAGGAAATGCAAAATTAAATTAACTATCCCCAAAGTCAATCAAAGGATAGACAAAGAGTACAGAATATGATACCTAATATATAAAGAATGGAGGAGGAAGAAAAAGGAGGAGAAAAAGATAAGAACCTTTAGACTGTGTTTGTAACAGCATATTAAGTGAGTTAAGTTATACTCTTAGACAGTAAGGAAGTTAACCTTGAACCTTTGGTAACCATGAATCTTAAGTCTGCAATGGCAATAAGTACATACCTATTGATAATCACCCAAATGTAAATGGACTGAATGTACCAATCAAAAGACATAGAGTCACTGAATGGATAAAAAAACAAGACCCATCTATATGCTGCCTACAAGAGCTCACTTTAAACCCAGACATACACAGACTAAAAGTGAAGGGATGGAAAAAGATATTTCATGCAACTAAGAGAAAAAAGCAAGAGTTGCAGTACTTGTATCAGACAAAATAGACTTCAAAACAAAGAAAGTCACAAGAGACAAAGAAGGACATTACATAATGATTAAGGGGTCAATCCAACAAGAAGATATAACCATTACAAATATCTATGCTTCAACACACGAGCACCCACATATGTGAAACAAACACTAACAGAATTAAAAGGGGAAATAGAATGCACTGCATTCATTCTAGGAGACTTCAACACTCCACTCACTCTGAAGGACAGATCAACCAGACAGAAAATAAGTAAGGACACAGAGGCACTGAACAACACATTAGAACAGATGGACCTAAAACATCTACAGAACTCTACACCCAAAAGCAACAGAATACACATTGTTCTCAAGTGCACATGGAACATTTTCAAGAATAGATCATATACTAGGCCACAAAAAGAGCCTCATTAAATTCAAAAAGATTGAAATTGTACCAACCAGTTTCTCAGACTACAAAGGTATGAAACTAGAAATAAATTATGCAAAGAAAATAAAAAATCCCCCAAACACATGGAGGCTTCAAAACATGCTCCTATATAATCAATGGATCAATGACCAAATAAAAACAGAGATCAAGCAATATATGGAGATGAATGACCACAATAATTCAACACCGCAAAAATCTGTGGGATGCATCCAAGGCCATGCTAAGAGGAAAGTATATTGCAATTCAGGAAAGAAGAACAATCCCATATAAGCAGTCTAAACTCACAATTAATGAAACTAGAAAAAGAAGAACAAATGAGGCCCAAAGTCCGTAGAAGGACATAATAAAGATTAGAGTAGAAATAAATGAAATTGAGAAGAATAAAAAATAGAATCAATGAAAGCAAGAGCTGGTTCTTCAAGAAAATAAACAAAATAGATAAACCCCTAGCCAAACTTATCAAGAAAAAAAGAGAGTCTATATACATAAACAGAATCAGAAATGGGAAAGGAAAAATCACTACGGACACCACAGAAATACAAGGAATTATCAGAGAATACTATGAAAAATTATATGCTAACAAACTAGAAGAATTGGACAACTTTCTAGAAAAATACAACCTTCCAAGGCTGACCAAGGAAGAAACAGAAAATCTGAACAGACCAATTACCAGCAACGAAATTGAAACTGTAATCAAAAAACTACCTAATAACAAAAACAACTGGACCAGATGGCCTCACTTCTGAATTTTATCAAACATTTAGTGAAGACCTAATACCCATTCTCCTTAAAGTTTTCCAAAATATAGAAGAGGAGGGAATACTTCCAAACTCATTCTATGAGGCCAGCATCACTCTAATACCAAAACCAGGCAAAGATAACACAAAAAAAGAAAATTACAGACCAATATCCCTGATGAACATAGATGCAAAAATACTCAACAAACTATTAGCAAATCAAATTCAAAAATACATCAAAAGGATCATACATCATGATCAAGTAGGATCTATTCCAGGGATGCAAGGATGGTACAACATTGAAAAATCCATCAACACCATCCACCACATCAATAAAAAGAAGCACAAAAACCACATGATCATCTCCAAATGCTGAAAAAGCATTTGACAAAATTCAACATCCATTCATGATAAAAACTCTCAACAACATAGGTATAGAGGGCAAGTACCTCAACATAATAAAGGCCATATATGACCAACCCACAGCCAACATTATACTTAACAGCAAGAAGCTGAAAGCTTTTCCTTCAAGATCAGGAACAAGACAAGGATGCCCACTTTTCTCACTTCTATTCAACATAGTACTGGAGGTCCTAGCCACAGCAATCAGACAACACACGAAAATAAAAGGCATCCAGATTGGCAAGGAAGAAGTTAAACTGTCCCTGTAGGCAGATGACATTGTACATAAAAAACCCTAAAGAATCCACTCCAAAACTACTAGATCTAATATCTGAATTCAGCAAAGTTGCAGGATACAAAATTAATACACAGAAATCTATGGCATTCCTAAACATGAACAATGAACTAGCAGAGAGAGAAATCAGGAAAACAATTCCATTCACAATTGCATCAAAAAGAATAAAATACCTAGGAACAAACCTAACCAAGGAAGTGAAAGACCTATACTCTGAAAACTACAAGACACTCATGAGAGAAATTAAAGAAGATACCAATAAATGGAAACACATCCTGTGTTCATGGAT